TCCTCCTCAGCTCCGGCTGCTGCTGAAGACTCGCCGGACTGCCCGTCGCCCCTCACCCCCCTCTTAGGACCCCCACTGGAGGGCAGGGGGGGTCTCTCTAGGACCCCCCCTCCGTGTCAGTGCCCACCCCCACAGTGTGGGTGGGGGTTCATGTCCTGCCTCTTGTCTATTTAATTAACTTATTGTTGGGGGGAGGGGCTGGATGCCTGGGTTCTGCCATGGGTCTGTGGGGTCCTGTGACATCTGGGTTCTCCCACAAATCTCACCCCCTCCACCCCCCTTCCCAGAGCTGGGATAGAACCAAGGGGTCCCCAGGAGGGGCCTTAACTCTTTCCTTCCCTGACCCCATCTCAGGCTGGGGGGCAACCCCCCTACAAGCAAGCAAAGAACCCAGGCATCCGCCTCTCCCCATCTATATCATTTCTGTGAAATGGACTCATTATGAACCACACTGGTTCATTCGGGGGGGAGGAGCAGTGGGGCAGGGACTCAGGTGTCTGGTTGCCTTGCCCTGCCCTGCCCTGCCCTGCCCTGCCCCACTGCTCCTCCCATCCCAGCCCAGCCCCCACCCCCCACCGGGGGGCTGGGGTGGGCTCCGGGCACTGTGTCGCCTCCCCACTTTGCTGGCCACCGGCTGCGGGTCCTAGTCCCCGTATTGCCAGGGCCCGAGGGAGAGTCTCTCTCAGGGCCGAGGCCAGTGCTGTGGCCCCCCCTCCTATTTGCCCTCCCAAATGGGGGGGTTGGGGGGGTCCCTGCAAAGCTCCCCACACAGCATCTGTGTGACAGAAACCCTGTAGGCCAGATCTCTGGTTCCACTTGGCCTCTCTCCGCCCCAGAGCTAGGCTCATCCAGGGGCTGGGAGAGGCCTTTATGGCTGGCGTTCTATGCAGCCGTTCCCCACCTGCTCTACCCCAGAGCTGGCAGCATCTTGGGGCCTTCATGGCCCATTATATGCAGTACTTCCCCAGAAGCTCCACCCAAGAACTGGCTGCATCTCAGTCCTGGGAGAGCCCTTTATGGCTGGTGTTCTATGCAGCTGCTCCCTAGCTGCTCCACCCCAGAGGTGGTTCCATCTCAGGCTGTTGTATTCAGCCAATTTTTATCTGCTTCACCCCAGAGCTGACTGCATCTTAGGGACTTCATGGCTCATGTTCTATGCAGTTGTTCCCCAGAGGTTCCAGCCCAGGGCTGGCTGTATCTCAGGCCATTCTATGCAGCCAGTCCTGACCTGTTCCACCCGAGCTGGCTGCATCCGGGGCTGGGAGAGCCCTTTATGGCTGCTGTTATATGCAGCCAGACTTTATCTGCTCCACCCCAGAGCTGGCTGCATCTCAGCCCTGGAAGAGCCCTTTATAGCTGGCATTATGCAGCCGCTCTCCAGTGCTTCCACCCCAGAGCTGGCTGCATCTTAGGGCCTTCATGGCTCATGTTATATGCAGCTATTCCGCAGAGGCTCCACCCAAGAGCTGGATGCATCTCAGGCTGTTCTATGCAGCTGGTCGTGATAGGTTCCACCCCACAACTGGCTGCATCTCAAGTTGTTATAGGCAGTTGGTTCTATCTGTTCCACCCCAGAGCTGCTGCATTTCTGCATCAGGAGAGCCCTTTATGGCTGGTGTTACATGCAGCCACTCTCCAGTGGCTCCACCCCAAAGCTGGCTGCATCTCAGGCTGTTCTATGCAGCTGGCCTCTCTTTGCTCCACCCCAGAGCTGACTGCAGCTCAATGTGAGGAGACCCCGGCTCAGCTGCTGTTCTATGTAGCCCGCTCCATAGGTGTTCTTTGTCACCAGCTCCACCCCAGAGCTGGCTGTGCTTTGGGCCCCGAAGAACCCATCAGCCTCAGTGTTATAGAGAGCAGGGGCCCAGCTGGCTGCGCCTCGGTGCCAGATGGGACCCAGAGCTCCTGGGTTGACAGGTAGCAGAGTGTGAGGCCCCCCAGGGACAAGGTGCGTGCACGCGCATGCGTGTGTCACAGATGTCTGGGTTCCCTGTGTGCATGTGTGTAGTTGTGTGTCCCAGGCTCCTGGTGTGTGTGTGTGTGTATTTGTGTCCCAGATGCCTGGGTCGTGTGTGTGTGTGTGTGTGTGTGTGTGTGTGTATCCCAGATGCCTGGGTCCCCTATGTGTGTGCGCAGCACATCACACCCACCAGCCCTGGGGGGCACAGAGCAGGGCCCGAGGCTTTGCTTGTGAACAAAGTGGGAGGGGTGGGCAAAACGGGGGTCCCAGCCCTGCCAGGGGCAAATAAACTTTTCAAAGTGCCCTCGGCCTGGTCTGAGTCCCTGGTGGGGAAGCTGCCTCCTCCAAACACAGCACCCCCTGGTGCCCCCCCCACACACCATGAAGCACAGAGAGGCTGAGGCAGAGCAGGGGAGTTTATTCCCAGCCCCCCACCTCACACCAGCTCCCCACGCAGCTCGAAGGGCAGCTCAGAGACCCCCCCAGGCCCAGGGAGCGCCGTTTCAGCTACGCGGTCATAGATGCCCCAGGGGTCCTCGGGGCCCCCCCACGGTGCCAGGCCCTGGGGGAAGAGAGGGGTATGGCTGCAGCGGGGTGGGGGGCAGGCATCCAGGCTCCCAGCCCCCCCAGCTCTTATCCCCAGCACCCCCCTACCCTAGGGAGCCCAGGCATCCGGGTTCTTACACCCCTCTGCTGCCCCCACAGAGGACCCAGTGGTCCAGGCACCCAGCTCCCCCTGCTTTCATCTCCCAGTCCCCATCACCCCCCCAGAGAACCCAGATATCCGGGCTCCCAGCCCCCCCACCCCCCTCCTAGAGATCCCAGGCGTCCGGGTGCTCTGGCTCCAACCCCCTTGGGAGAGAGCCCAGGTGGTCCAGGGTGAGGGAGGGGCTCACCCAGCGGGCCGGGGGAGCCGGGGAGACCCCCACCTCCTCGTAAGGCTCCAGCAGGTCCTCATAGTGGTGTGGGGGGTAAGGCCATGGGGCGGGACCTGGAAGACACACAGCAGGTGGGGGAGGGGATTATACCTCCCCAAGGAGGGGCAGAAGCCTGGCAGGGGGTGGGTGGGAAGGGGGGACCCACCTGTGTCCTGGGGGGTCTCTGGGTGTGGGTAGACCCCAGGCCAGCGGCTCCCAAAGCTGGGCTGTTGTTGGGAGGAGAGGGATCAGTGAGGGACCCAGAACCCACCCTGGACCACCCTGGACCTCCCTGCCCCCTAGTAGCCCCCACCTCCAGCCAGAGCAACCCCCAGAGGGCACCCAGAGCCCCCTGTAGTCACTGTTGGCCACTGCAGGCGCCAACCACGTAGATACACCCCTGGTGCCCCCTAGGGGGCCTTGGCCACTGCAGGTGCCCCATAGTGCCCCCCCAAGGTCATAGCCACCCCAGAGAGGACCTGGCACCCACTATGCCCCCAGCTCCATCTAGAACCATTTAGTGGCCCCTGTTGACCATTGCAGGCACCATCTGGCCAGATGCAGCCCAGGCAACCCCTGGGGGGCCTGCCTGGCCACCGCAGGTGCCCCCAGTGCCCCCCCTCACCGCACTGCCTTCTGAGCCGCTGTCCAGCAGGAGGGTCCGCCGGGCCGCAGGGTTCACGGCCTCCCCAGAGCTGTAGTGA